GGGGGTGAATTGGTTGTTTAAAAAACTTTTTCGAAAATAATTGCAATCTTAAACAAATAGTAGATCAATTAATTTACAAGTAAGATAGCATAAATAAGAAAGTAATAAGTAAAAGGGAAATGAAAGAGAATGAGTAACGATGTAATTGTGGAGGTTCGGTCCAATCAACCATCTACATCCCTCATTACCAAACTTTCCGTCACGAGCAAGGCATTTTTCACTATTGTTGATTGATGTATGACGCAATTTAATCCTTACAACACTTCTGGTGACTTACATCCAAGGAGCACCAATCCTTTTACAACTTTTTAATTTTTGGGACTTCAACACAATCCATAATCAAACAAAAAAAAGATTTCACAAGTATAAACTTCTTTCTTAATAACTGGTATTATCACAATTAAGTATCAAGAGAGAAGTAGGCTAACACTTCAATAAATAGCAACGAGTATAGCTTAAGTGTTAGATGTTGAAAAACTTTAATGAGATAAAAGATTTTCACAAATTTGATCACCCAAAAAGTTTTTCAAGAAATAAATATTTTGATCTTCTAAAGATTAAAAACAAAGTAGTTGACATCAATAAAAGCCTCACTTAAATACTTAAAGAAGGTTGTTGCAAATGAGAAAGAGAAGTGGTATTTATAGAACTCAAACGGGCAAAAACTATTGTCCATCCGGACGTCCGGTTGGGATCGGGATGGTTAAAAAAACTAGCCATTTGGATTAGTGGAAGAGCAGTTGAAAAAAGTGACGGTAGGGCATCCGGATGTCCGGATGGGTAGAAATGCCCTCGGACTCTCGGACGTATTTCCTTCGAAATGAATTTGATCAATGTAGGTTCTTGAAGGACTTTCTCACTTATTGTAAAGATAAGTATTTTTGTACATATTTGAACGTTGAGTCAAAATATTTACCATTTTTAAAATTTAATTTTTATGCAAATATCTTTTGTAAGTAAATTTGTTCTCTTGCATACAAATTCTTTTGATTTATAGTTGATGCTAAGAATTGAAATGTTTTACCTTTACATATAAATTCAAAGCATGTACATCTAATGTCTTGAAGTTCGATAATTGATCTTTTCTTCAAGGTGAATTTTGAAGTGAAGACTCGATTTTCGTCTCTAAGTTTGTTAATCGCCAATTTTGCTTCCACGTTGATCTTCAAGCGCCTATTTCATCTGTCAATGTGCATGTTTCATGATCTTGATTTTCGTGTCTTTATTTTTGTCGATTTTGCAACAATCACTATCAACACTCGAATTCAATTTGTTAGAAATAAACGCAATTTATTTGTGGTAATCGAAACAAGAAGTTAACCATTTAAGTCAACAGCCTCAATTATATGATAACAACTAGGTACGTTCTAGACGTCTCTTAGGTTATAAAGGATGCAAAAAATATTATACCATACCAAGATGGAACAAAAGCAAAAAAGGTGAATTTTTCCTACGAAGATTAACCATGCGTACATACGTATGGAAAGTTGATTTAGGCCTCAGTTAGCCACATGTGGGCCTTTATACGCAAGGCCTGCGTACGCATGGTTTTCTCTTTAGGGGACCAAATTTGTAGTTTGGTCCCAAAGTTTCTAAAGTGTCCATTTCAATCACTCTTCTTTTCATCCTGCTTCCTTATAAATGCATTCAATCGAGTCCTAGCACTCTCAAATGTTCGTTTTGCGGTCCGATCCAACTTTTGATTATTTGTATTTCAGTTCTTGAATTTTGGCTTTCTTGCAATTCAGTCATCTATTCATCCTTTTTTCTCCAATTTTGCCTTTTTCATCGATTGTTTCCTAAAAAAGACAATTCAAATCGAGTTAAGTCGTTATTCATTAAAATAACTGACAAATACTGTAACTTCAAAGTCTAAATAGTGTATCAAATGCACTTATCATTTATGATTCTAAAGATCGTTGGTGTCTTATATACAAATTTATGATATTTAACTCTTCTTGCATCAATATTTTATATTAGCATTGTCCTAATGCTATATGATATAGTTATCCTCGAAGAAAAATAATATAATTAGTTAACGCATATGATATGTACACAACGATAAAAATATTGAATAACACTCAAAGATGCCATCTTGGAAAAGGAGTAATCACTTTGGCATGCCACAAGCTGTCATAAGATGATCACTCAGGAAAGGCCTATCAAATTAGACAACTGTTGGTCGCGCAAAAATCAAGTATGCTTGTGCTACACGAGTTAAAATCTTTTTTGTCCTGTATGATTACTCGGGCATGAAAGGAGCAAATAGATAGAAGTGGTTATCTCGTGAACACCTGTATCTCAAAAATTAAGAGTGTGATCCTTTCCACTTCCATCTCCTCGACCAAAGATATAAGTCCATCTGTGTCCCACCTCAATAACAAGGTACATATGCAATTTTTATAACATAACAAAGTACTTCATAAAACCTACATTCTATCTAAGATTATTCTTGTAAACCACTAACCCATTCTTATGTTAAAGTATATGCAAGGCGAGGTCCAAAACCCTTAGGCCCACTCAAGGACGTGAAATAGATACAAACACTTATTCCAACAAGGATCATTGGCACCATCAACGATAAAATCATCATTTCCTCAAATATAACTTAATAGATCAAAAGTCATATCACAAACATGATGAAGAAGCAATCGGCAACAAACATTACATCCCTAGAGCTCGCGTTCAATGTGTAACAGCCTCTAACAGCATTTTATGCGAGGCCAATTTAAAAACTCATCGCTTCACACTTTGCTTTTGAACACCTACAATGGCAACCTAGGACAAGCGCATTTGACCTATGTGACGGGGTCATTATTTTTCAAAACGCTCATGGATTTAGGGAAAAAGTGCTTAGAAATCGTAAGTACGCATTATTCAAATTTTGGAATAAGAGATGTTTGTGTACTTTTTAGAATAATGAGGAGGTGTTATTGAAATTTTTAAAAAAATATTCGAATAGGTATATGTAATTTGTCTTAATATTAAATTTCGACAAAATCTTGGTTGTATAGATTCATTTATGAGTCATAATGTGAGAAAAATGGAATAAAATCATACTTTGCCCTTGTTTGGTGTAGATAAGAATCAAATTTTTAATTAGATTTGAATAAAATTTGATTAAATATGTGATTGAAAAGTTGATGAAAATGTGAACCCTACAATATATGTGATAAAAATAATTATTAATTGGGACTTAGATTGTTATAATTTTTTGGGCAACACCAAGGTGCGTTTGATTGTTAGTATTTTTCATAAAAATGTGTTTTTTCTATCCAAATTCCCATTTTTGTGCTATTTCATTACTATTTTTTCATGAAAAATATTTTTCTACTTATGGTCACTTGACCATATTTTTCTCAAAATTAAGGAAAATATTTTCTTTAGAAAGAGTAGGATTTTATTTTCCAGGGAATTCACTCTCTTTTTTTTCTCTTATCTACTCACCAATAAAAAACGGAAATATATAATATTTTGTAGGTTGAAAATAAAATCAATTAAGCACATTTAATTAACAATTTTCATACAAATAAATTCTAGACAATTGAATTATCTAAAATTTATTTTATTTCCATACAAAATCCACGCACCCCAAATGTGTCTTCATTTCAGTTGAGAACAAAAAACTTGTGAATATAAAAAGGAAAAATTGCAGCAACGATCCTTAACCTTTCGTTTTTTGCAGACTTTACTCTAATATTCACTTTGTGCTATCCACAGTTCCGAACCCTTCAAAAATTTGCACCCGAGATCTAAATGGATGGAAACCGTTCATTTGACTGTTAGTTGATCGAAAGAGTCAAAATTTAATCGATTTTGACCAAATTGAAAAGTGTAAGATGGTACTTTACATTTTTCTCATATTAAAATATTAAAACAATTAAATTAAAAACCCAAATACCCCACCCCACGCCACCCCCAAATCAAAATAGCATAGCAACTCATCTTCTCTGATGATACATTATTGGAAACAGCCACAATCACCACCACCTACTCACCATTGTCACCTTTTAGCTTACAGCATTTTCGAAAATCAAATCCCATCCCACTTAAGTCAAAACCAGAAATCAAATTACCCAGCCACCAACACGTTGTCGTACTGATTTTTCATTTAAAATGTCTTCAGCAGTTGCATATAACCCACCATCGTTGTCGCCATAACATCTACTCCAAATAACATGAACCCAGATCCAGAAATGACCACTTAGATCAACACTTCTCCAAGCAACACTGTCTCCATTACTTTTCTATATGAGTTAAACTCAATTCTTGAACTATACAGAGTGCTTGTTTGGTAGGGATTTGATTAATTGATTTTTTGACCGTTGAAATAAAGTGGATCTTATTTGTGAGAGAAGAATTCAAAAATAATGGGTGAAATAGTGAAATAACGGTCAAAAAATTGATTTTAATTGGCTTAAAATCTGTACCAAACAAACACAGAAGCTCAACTCCTATTGCCAAAAAGTCATATCGAATTATACCACAGCTCGTGCCGTATTTGACGATTGAGATTTAGGTTTGGGTTTAGATGAAGATTTGATAGTTACTTCAAAACTCACTTCTCAACTCGGGTTGGGTGTCTTGGAAATATTTTGGGTGTGGAGGTGCCGAAGTTGTGGGTGGTGGTGACAACGATTTTGACCACGGTGTGGGTGGGTTGGGGAAGGAGGATGGGCGATGGAGGTTTATATTATTTTAAAATAAATAATAATTGCGTTGCATTTTTATTTTGTTTTAATTAATTATTCTAGGGATAAATTGGAATTAATAGCAAAAGTATCATCTTGCCTTTTTCAATTTGGTCAAAATTGAATCAATTTTGACTTTTTCGGTTAACTAATGGTCAAATGAATGGTGGACCTTGGGTGCATAAGTGAATGTTAGGGTAAAGTCTAAAAAAAGGAAAGGTTTAGGGACCGCCGTTGCAATTTTCCCTAAAAGGATAAAAATCAGTTCCGGGTGGAACGGGATTCCTTCTTTCCCAGTTCGCTGCAATGTGAAATCGGTCTTCGGCAACTGCTCTTATACAGACATGCCGTTTATATTATAGAAAGATTAACACAGACTCGTATCCATCGCGACCACCACCCCGCCCCGCTGTGGATCAAGGGTTTTATTTCGGTTTGATTAATTATAATCCTAATCGAATATCTCAAATAATCACTCAATAAACCTCTCAATAAATAGAAAAACCTGTAAATCTCCGGTAAGTAACGTTACGTAATCTCTTATTTACATTTTTCAATTTCTTTCACGAATTTTGTTCTGGCGTGGGAAAATGCAAGAGCTCAGGGTTTTACTCAGCCTTCTTGAACCGATAAAATTCTGGTGAAAAATGCATTTTTTTCTTGAATCTTTGGAGAATTACTTACATTTTCTGGAAGTTTAGTTTGAGCGAAGTTACATTTATGATTATGAAGTGGTGCTATATGAGTGATGGAGATGGGAAGTATGGCGTTCAGTTCTACAAACGCCAGGATAAAAAGAAGAATGAAACACCCGGAAATGATGATTTCGCCCAGGCCATTGCTAGAATTGCCGTGACACAGGTATGCCACAGCCTAGGGTATCAGGGCTTTCAGCAGTCTGCTCTCGACACCCTTTCTGATGTAGGGGTGAGGTACATTAGAGAGATTGTAAAAATTGCCACGGCTTGTGCAAATTTAGATAATAGGAACGAATGTAATGTGTTTGATGTGATTCAGGGGTTGGAGGATTTGGGTTCTGTTCAGGGGTTTTCTGGTGCTTCCGACGTTAATCATTGTCTTACTCGTTCTAGAGTAATTAGGGACATTATTCAGTACGCTGAAGAAGCTGAGGAATTCCCATCTGCATATCCAATTCCGACTTTTCCAGTTGTCAAAGAGAGAAAATTGTATGCAAGTTTTGTTGGAAATTTATGCCATCGGAGAAAATGGAGATGAAAATTAAGAAATAGAAATTCAAGAAGATGGAAATTAACAAGGAAAACAAATCAATATGGAAGGCTCAAACACGAAAATGATTCGTTGTTCTCAAACGATATTTGCCCCTTCTCGTATACAAATTTGGTGCTTAAAAGGCTTTATGGCAAATAGTTCGTAGGATTGATCAAGCCTTGTTGTAGAAAATCACAAAAGCACAAATGATTTTTCCACCCAAATCTTGAAGAACACTTGAAGAACATGAATATGGAGGGAAGAGAGTTTAATTCTTTCATGTGGATTTGTTTATATGTTTTTCACATACATGTAATTATTTTTCAATGTCCATTAATCACTTATTTATAGACATGAAACATTGCCACACGAAAAGGTGCCAAAATGAAATGAAAAGCTGCCAAAATTCAAACCAAAAAATTGTCCAACGGTCCCTAATTTACAACCATGCGACCGCATGGTTTTAACCCATGTCCGAGGCCATGTGGCCTCGGTACATCATCGTGCGACCGCATGGATATTTGCCCATGCGACCCCAAAATTTGGCCCTGTTCAGCTTTCAATTCCAATTTCATTTTGGTCCGTTTTCATTTCGATTTCAATTCCGTTTTCATCCCATACACCATTTATTGATTGTGAACAATATTTTCCATCAATCCCCCACTTGTTCAAAATTCAATAAACTCTCATATTCAAAATAAATAATACTCATACATAAGGATTAGATATCTTTCGATTTGAATCTAACCATAGTGTAATTCAAACAAAGTAAAGTTGAAATCAAACGTAGCGTGAAACTTTGAACCATTTGTTCCATGTGACAATACCGGTAAGAATACACACACGAGCATTACGTGTTCTCAAGTTCCTCAACTCGCTTAGCGCTAATATGGCATTGCGCTCATCTTATTCAACAAACTTTTAAGAGAGAAACTCCAACTCTCTATTGAAGCGGCACCACCTTGAAATTTGTTTAGGTAAAGTTCTTCCAGTACTTTTGTTACTTTTAGAGGTACTTGTATTTTAGTACTAGACTTCATTAAGAGCTTCAATACTCAACCCTCATTTCAGTAACAACCAGCATTATTTTACTTAGGATAGGGTTATTGCGAATTTTAATAATGCCGAAACTATCCCACATATCGAATGACTTGTTTGTTACCCTTTGAACCCATGGATTACCCTTTTGAGTAAGCGATGGGTAGGGTTGCCGTCATTGGTGGACCTTTATAGTTTAGGAGTTTCAACCCCATCTTACTCGAAGTATATGCCACTAAAGTTTTATTTAGTGGTCTAGTTAAAGGATTCGCTAAATTCTCTTCGAAAATTATTCCACCTTTGATAATTTCCTTGTGACGTCACCTTTAAGACTTATATGTCTTTACTTTTCATTTCATGTGACTTAGTATCTTATCAAAGTATAGCTAGCCAACGATCGATTCATTTGATAGATACAATTTGTCACCACCAAGAAATCCTTTTGTGAAGCCATATGCTTCTCACTTGCTTTATTTAAAGTTTTATTTATATCCAAACATGGTTTGAACATTTTTATCAAATCATTACACTTCTCAATCAATTTTATTGTGGATCTCACACTTGGGTATTCATATTTCATTATTAAAATATTACAGTGATCTTCAACTTATGAATACTCTTAAATATTCACATTGGTTTTGAAAGCACCGTGATTGGCTTTCACCCAAATTATCCACTTAAACTTAATGATAATGTATCTCATCCTTATAATTATAATCATAAGGACTTTTCTACCTTTTCTTCCTTCATAGATATTTTTCTATGATTAATATGTAAATGATATGGTAACTTTTAAATTAAGTTACCCCCACAATTCCTCACTTAGGAATTTATATGCAATCATGTAATATTGCATTCATAAATATTGAACTTCTCATATAGGTTCTCAAGCATTTAAAGTTAACCTCCACATTTCGAGTTATATTCGAACTTAGAGTTCCTCATTATGTCAACCCCCACATTTGGGATTGTAATTGAACTTAGATTTCATCAACTCTTTCACAGTTCGATTCATTTATCATCTATTTTAAGTATTTTTAGATAGTGGTCGTTAAGTCACAACTTACTTCAAATCGACCATCTTAATTGTGATCACACAATTTTACCAAGGTTACCTCATAGACCAACAATGCTTTTCCAAGTTTAAACCAAATCAATTGGTTCCATAATTGAAGTCACATTCAATGAATAAAGAAGAATATTTTTTCTTAATTCACAAGAATTGCAACTTCTCCAATCTTTTTACAACTTATCACTTTCACAAGATAGCATTATGTCATATTGGATAATAAGATACATGTTTACCTTATTCACATTTGGACAAAATCACATTTTGTCATATTCTTATGCAAATATAATCTTACATAAGATCATTTTTACTACCATTTTCAAAGATATCAAGCATCACCGCCAACTATAGACATAATTTTGTGTTCTATAAAATGATTCCATGTCTCAGTAATTGCGCAAACAATTTCTAATAGAACATATCACAATTTGTCATAATTCAAGCAAATGCACTTGTACTTTAATCAAATTCTCTTTAATTTGATCATACAAATTTGACCAATGTCAACACATAGACCAAAGAATGTATGCAACTTATCAAACTAGTGACACTTCACAAGATAGTAACATTTGTTTCCAGTGTGTGTCATTTTATTTTAAACAATAAGGCACCTATTCAAAAAGAATAGCAATATTCCTTCAAAAGTTCATGTACTTTCAACAAAATGATCGCATCCTTTCAAACATTTATACATTTCACATACAATTTTAGAATATTGGTAGTTATGGAAACTTCAAAATGAATTGACACAATCTTTCATTTTTAATTTAAACACTAATTCTCACACCAATTCAAATTACACATAAATAGGTGTAAGCATCGCACTCTTTCATATATAAGCATCGCACTCATTCATGCATTTAATAATTTATTCACATCTTTTGATAAACCATGCATTCAGGAAATGAAATTCAGAAATCTATATAACCTTTTGCATATACTGAAACTTCATTTTCTTTCATTTTGTTTACAAACATGATGGTTCCGCTAATGATGGTTCATAATTGAGAAATCATATAAATCCAAAAGCATATGCATCCATCAAGTTGGTTTCTCATTTAAATAAATTTCATTCAAACAGATTTCTCATAAAAGTGAAATCATGCATGTAAAACAGAATCTAACATGCACAAATTCAATTTTACTAACGTAAAATCAAACAAAAATTTGACTTACTGAATTTAGATTTGAGAAGGCACAATTACCGAATTCCGAATACACAAATCTGGATTTATACTTTTTCTACAAGTCAAACCATCTCTTGAAGTTAGTGACATCAACAAAGTCTCGATCCATCTTGATTGTTGCCATAGACATCTCATTCTCCATCACAAAAAAAATATCGTTTGAGATTGTTGGAAATTTATGCCATCGGGGAAAATGGAGATGAAAATTAAGAAATAGAAATTCAAGAAGATGGAAATTAACAAGGAAAACAAACCAATATGGAAGGCTCAAACACGAAAATGATTCGTTGTCCTCAAACGATATTTGCCCCTTCTCGTATACAAATTTGGTGCTTAAAAGGTTTTATGGCAAATAGTTCATAGGATTGATCAAACCTTGTTGTAGAAAATCACAAAAGCACAAATGATTTTTCCACCCGAATCTTGAAGAACACTTGAAGAACATGAATATGGAGGGAAGAAAGTTTAATTCTTTCATGTGGATTTGTTAATATGTTTTTCACATACTTGTAATTATTTTTCAATGTCCATTAATCACTTATTTATAGACATGAAACATTGCCACACGAAAAGGTGCCAAAATGAAATGAAAAGCTGCCAAAATTCAAACCAAAAAATTGTCCAACGGTCCCTAATTTACAACCATGCGACCGCATGGTTTTAACCCATGTCCGAGGCCATGTGGCCTCGGTACATCATCGTGCAACCGCATGGATATTTGCCCATGCGGCCCTGTTCAGTTTTCAATTCCGTTTTCATTTTGGTCCGTTTTCATTTCAATTTCAATTCCGTTTTCATCCTATACACCGTTTATTGATTGTGAACAATATTTTCCATCAATTGTTAGAATTTTAGTTGTTCAAAATAAAAAAAAAAAAATTTTTTGGGCTTAACCATGTGGCTACACGGGTTAAGCCCATGCGGCTGCATGAGGCCCTCCCGAAACTGGGAGGGCCACTTGCACTATAACCGTGCGACCGCATGGTTATAGCCCATGCGGTTGCATGGTTATACAAAGTGATTGTTTGGGATTCGTTTTTTACCCTTTTTCTTTTGAATTTGGTGCCTTTTCAACATAATTTTGCACCATTTCGTGGGAACCCTTCAAAGCCTATAAATAAGTGTTCCAATTGCAAAGAAAAACACTCTTGAGAAAATTAAGAAATCCACCACAAGATTATTCTCCCAAATTATCACATAATCAATCTTATATCTATTTTCACTTGTTCTTTGTGAAAGATACACTTTGCTTTTGGTGTTATTCACACGAAGGCTTGTTTAATCCTACAAACTATTTGTCGGAACTCCTCAAAAGCATTGGAAAAGGGGCAAATAACGTTTGAGGATAGCGTTATCATTTTCGTGTTCAAGCCTCTTAGTATATCTATATTCTTTTATTACCAATTTTCCTCTCTTCATTGCTTTAAATCTCCAACAAGTTTTGTGCAAATGGGTGACCCCCCCCGATGAACATATACCTGGTTGGTTGCCAAAGTTTCCAGATCCTGAGACTCGTGTGTATTTGAATTCAAGGGTCAAGAAAGAAGCTGAGCTTGCAGTGGAAGGTGTTGGAAAAATTGGTTTTAATTAGTTGGTTTGACCAACTTTTGACCAATTAATTTAGTGGGCCCCGTTAATCGGAAATAAGATTTCTTTGGCCGAATGTGTTCTACTCCATGAGTAGATTAATATGGTATATTTATTTTCTCAAAACCAATTTAGGGTGAATGAGAAATTAAGGCCAAAAGATGCCCACTTGATGTTGAAATAAAATATATGGGAAATTGAAAAATACCAATCCCACGTAGGAAAACTAGAAGAATATAAACCACCTTATATAGCTTAAGTTTGAGACTTGGGTTTGGGCCCCAAGAGGTACCAATAGTCTTTGAGGGGGAGAGAACCTACATGCTAGTAGGTTAAGCCAAAGCCCACACGCGCATATTGGGACCCAGTCGTGTAAATCTATGAAGGACAGGAGAAAGATTCCATTGAATGAGAGGACCACAATAAAATTTAAGTTCAAAAATAGCAGGAAGTGCTCGGGCACATCAATTAGCCCTTGGAATGAGGGAGTTGAGAAAATAGCTCTTTGGTTTGGTGTTAACCATGATGAAAAACATGACAAGAAAAAGAGATCTGGGCAAATTCTTGGGGAAACTATGGATAATTCACAGGGCATCACGTGTGTAAATTAGGCATGATTGATTTAGACTTTGTATACTTGTTTAGGGAACTGGCAGCTGCTACTTTTTCAAGAGTAGCGCTAGTCAAAGAGAGTTTTTTTCTATTTGATCTTTACAGATTTCCGAAGGGGTATTTTTCCAACTTCACAAGATCTAGAGGTATGTTTTGTCCCTCACAGACATGAACATTGAATTGATAGCTTTTTGTAATTGAGATTAAAACCTCCGAGTTTCAAGCATCAGGCCTTCCCTTTTTATTTTTATTTTTTAAAGTTTATCTCTATGAGGTTTGAATTAATGCACCAATACTTTTATCGTCATTTAGCGCCAGTGGTCTATGTAAGTTATTTTCACCCTTACTATTTTTTCTACTTGTAATTTTCTAAGCAATAATTAATTGTATGAAAATATTGCATAGAAGTTGCTGTTAGATGAATATATTTTGGGATAATTATGGTTTAGGAACTGGACGGAGTATAAAGTCATGCACTGGCAAATGAATCCTCTATTGCTCCTTATTGCTCCTAAGAATTGCATCTTCAGCTGTCATATTTCTCCACCATCTAGATGTAGGGAACTATTCCTTTCCTTAGTAATGTTATACTTGTAAGTCTTTACTAATTTGGCAGTGTGTTGAATTTGATTCACAAGCAGATATCTGTTCAATCTTAATTTAATTTGTTTTCTCCCCATTGTCTAGATGTTTATTGCTTCTTTTTTTTCCCTTTCTGTTTTTCAGTTTTTGCTCCTAAAAGTGAGGTTCCAAATATCTTTGAAAGGACTCTTGTTGGAGCCAAACGTGCCACAGTCACCTTATCAATTATTTCATTTAGTCAAACACCGTGCTTAACAGATATGTATAGACTGTTCATTGGGTTGAAAGATCTTAATTTCATTGCTCAACGGAAAGAACAAAAGACAGAGAAGTTTGCCTGAATTTCTTTGGACATTATTTTATGACTTTACTGTAAGTACCAAGTACACATTGATAATTACTTGAATAATTATCTGGCTTACTGCTTGTGAATTGATGGAAGAAAGGTTATTTGTTGAATAGTTATTTGCATACCTTAATTTGGTTGAACGGAATTGTGAATATATCTTTCTGGATAGAGGATCTTTCTCTGAAGCTCAAGTATCTGCATCTACCCAATCTACTTATTTCTGTCCATAAAATAAAACGGGGACACTGGAATTTAATTAAACTATAGATCCTCTTACCTACCAACGGTACAAGATGTTGCCGAAATTCCTCCATATGCTGAGGGGATTGATTTAGTCTTTCGATTGTTGGCCTCTTCGCTCTAGCTTCTTGCTGGGAAAAGTAAGACAAAAGACAAAGCATCCGATCCTCCTTCAAATTCATATGGAAAAAGCAATCTCGTTCTTTGCTTGGAAATCATAGCACAAATAGATCTCATTTAGAAAATATTTCATATCAGTCTTGTCTCTGTCTGCAAATGTTGTCGTGCACACGAATCCATTGATCGTGTCCTTATAAATGTAGCAATCACCGTATAATTGCAAGCCTCAACTTCAAGTGTTGTAACATTAAATTCTCTCTATATATCTTTTGGTACCTTTGGCTTGAAAGAAGTATTGCTAAATATTCTGGAATTAAAATGAGTGCAAAGTGAGTATTTAATAGAGTTGATTCTTTGTGGCGCATAAATATCTGCTTGTTTATTATCTGTCAACACCAAACACTCCCTGATACTTAAAACGCAGCCTTGCGTGGTGTACTGGATCGAGATAAGCAAACAAATTTTATTTCGCTTCAGATCTGTTGGGAGAGGAAGTTCAAGTTATTATCCCTCCCTACCCCTCTCTCCGGATAGAGAGTTTTATTTTTTATTTTCTGTTTTGATGATCGTGGATGTCCGGGCCAACTTACGTGCACTTCAACTAATACCACGAGGCCCCGAAGTTAACGATTGAGTACTCACCTCAATAGTCTTGAGGAGACTCGAATTGATGACCGTTGAGAGGCAAACCCACAAGCCACAACCCACTGGATAGAGAGTTTTATGGAGGTTTAATTAGCTATTATCCTAATCAAATCTCTCAAATAATCTCAGCTAATCTTTCCATGTCTGATTAAGCACTCTCTTTTTACTCAAAGATCATCTTTCTGAACTAGTCCAGTATAAACCCTGAAATTCTAAGGTAAAGTATAAACCCTGAAATTCTAAGGTAAGTAATGTGCTTTTCTTTACTCTACTTTGCTTTTTTCAATTTCTCTCATGAATTTGTTCGGCCTTAGGAAAATGCAAAGAACTTATGGTTTTACTCAAGCATCTTGAATCCATGAATTGCCGGTGAAGAATGCATTTCTTGGAGAATTTCTTGCATTTTCAGGAAGTTTAGCTCGAGAGAAGTTATATTTATTATTATGAAGTTTTGTGGAACATAAGTGATGGAGGTGGGAATTATGTTGTGGAGTTCTTGAAAGAAAAAGAAAAAGAAAATCCCCAGGATAAAAATGAGAATAAAACATCTGGAAATGATGATTCACCCAGGCCATTGCTAGAATTGCTGTGGCACAGGTAAGAGCTGTCAGAGCTTCCAGCAGTCTGCTCTTGACACCTTCCAGATATAGGGGTGAGGTAGAGTGGAAAAATTGCGGTGTCTCGTGCAAATTTATCTAATAGAAATAAGCGTAATGTGTTTGATGTGATTCAGGGGTTGTAGGATTTGTGTTCTGTTCAGGGTTTTCTGGTGCATCCGATGTTAATCATTGTACTCCAACTTTTCCAGTCATGAAAGAGAGAAAACTGTATACAAGTTTTTCCCAAAGCGGGTGAAAACTTTCAAGGGACTTGTGTGTATACGAATTCAAGAGACGAGAAAGAAGCAGAACTTGCAGTGGTGTGAAGAATTGAAGAGCAACACATGAATGTTGTTGAATTTAAAGCAGAACTTGATTTGCAATGGGTCAGAAGCATGGATATCAAACTCCTGGGATACTGCTAAGGCACAACACCAATCAATTTCGTGCCTCGTTTCTTCACTTTGAGGAAAATTGGTTGTCTTTACTCGTTCTTTTGGCTTAATTATCAGTTAAGGCTACAGGGAAATTCCAGAATCATGCAGTTAGGAGAATTTCAATAATAAATAATCAAAAGAGAGACACAGAAATGAAAAGCAGAACTCCAAAATTAGTACATCCGATTAACAAAGATCGGATCAAATTTAGTTTGACAAGCAAGTAATATGATGAACATACTTCAATATGTTTTATATTATACGTTGCATGAAGCGTAATTTTTTGTTCAATAATTAGTCAATGAAGTAATTTTATATCCAAACTCGTCCCAATGCATGCAAGGTTATTTCCTTCTCTGCATTATTCTTTCACCTCGATTGCTCTAGCTTGCCTATGATGGGTTATTTGTGGCTGGAGCAGAGGGAAGTGGACTTGTATGTCAAATAATAAATATTAGAGACCAACTTGCTACAACATTAATAGATTGGGAACCTCTACTGCAATTTTTCAATTTCCATTAAGACGCTCCTTTTTATCCTATTACTATTCAAATCATTTGAAAAATATCCTTTCCCTTTCTCTCTTGCTGTAATATATTTCGTCCTTTGGATTTAATCCACAGCAGAAAAAGGTAAGAAATGCTGAATTTTTTTCATTTTATGGTCAGATTTAAATGATCTCGATCGTTACTGGGACTAATTTTTGCAATGACGTTAAGAATTTAATGACCCGTTTATCGAATTCAGGTGATTCATTGTGGCATATATGATTTTTTCTTATTACATCTCTGTCCATTTGCCGTTCTTTGTAACGGTTATGCTTCATTGGAGTGTTATTTTGATATTCCATTCGTCTAATTCGTCAAATCTCGCCGAGGCATATTTCAAATTATAAAACGGGTTAATTTTTGATGCATTAATGATATTATATATATTTTTCTATAGAAATTAGAACTTCCTAAATCATTTGGACTATATTGATTGGGTTTCTGAGAAGGAGCAAAATCTTATGGTCGAATCTTGGATCTAATTATCAGTATTATTTCCGGAAATAGAATTTCTTGACGATTTTGATTGTGACATTTTGAAGGAGGAGTAAAATGTTATGGTAGAATCTTGGATCCGTTTATTTTATTGGCAATTAAAACCTTGTACATATGTGCTTGGTTTTGAAGCCAGGTTATCAAATATGCTCATTTTCCGATTAAATTTTCTAAAAGAGAGAAAAGTGCAGTTCATTTTTGAAATATGGATTGTGTAATTGCTAAGGGATGCTTGTTAGAATTTAAAAAGCTTCTAATAATAGATCACGAGTCATGACTTCCAGAAAAGGAAATAAAGTAGGTTGCTTTGCCTTTTCCCCCCCTACCAAACTCATATTTAAATTTTTTTAAATGTAGTTTGGTTTTATATAAAGCGAAAGTGAGTAAATGGATAATCTGGAATATGTCTCCACAAAATTGTTTGTATAAAATTTTACCCTCATATTTTCTTTGGATTCTTTCATGGATCCAGTTGAGGGTGCCACTATGCTAAATAATCGATGCATGGTTATTGTAAATAGTTATTAGAATGAAATTTAAGAGTTCGTGAGAAACATTCACATGA